CACTGATTACACTGTAAATGATAATCTACCTCAACCAAAATCAAAGTAGACTATCACTCACCCACACCAGATGGAAAACTCTACAGACTGTCGGTTCACACCCCATCACAAGCCRGCAAAACATCCACGAAACAAAGAAAGGTCTATCACAGCCAAAAAATACACTCCAGACACGCCGCTGGCACTAGAGGCACAGCATGGCCGCGTAGTGATATATGTATATATACGTATGTATTGCTATATGTATTTGTATGTATAATGCTGGTGTGACATGTAGTCCGGTGCACGCGTAGTGGTGGTCGTGCTAAGCACCTATCCACTCTTTGCTTTGTTTTTGCCGGCGTGACATGTAGTCTTGGCAATTGATTGTACTCAGTCAGAAAATGCCGACAGCAATCTGAAAGGTTGGTATTACCGAGTTATAGATGCCACTGACAGGCTCTCCCCCGTTGAGCAGGACCCGCTTGGACAGTTCTAAGGTTGTTTAGTTCCGCGCCTTGATTGTATTGAATTTCGGAAAATGCCGACAGCGCTAATGAAAGCTTGGTACTCTAGAGCTCTATAGAGTCTTATAGATGCCAGGCAGGCCGCCTGTCGCAGGCAGGCTCCCTGTCGTTGAAAAGGACCCACTTGAATAGTACTAACTTAAAGGGTGTGTGATAAAGTGATGTGATGTTATTGCGCTCAGCATGACTGTAATTCGATTACTTCGTTAGCCGTGATTGAGGTGGAGGAAAGTTTACGCGCGACTTTCTACGCGCCATTTACATATCGATCGTAAGGAGGAAGCGAAACTTTGTGCATGCATGCATGCACTCCGGCGTGCCTGCTTGCACCATGCTCGCGTCGACCACGTGCCGGCAGCGCAAGGCTGGTGTGATTCGCACGAGGAGTTGACCAACTTGACCCCCTGACGAAAGCTAAGGTGCTTCCATTCATGATGGTCAGTTGATGATATACATTTCTCCTGAAGCTTGAGTTCAAGTATCAAGCTGTCCGTTAGAAAAACTTAATGTGTGCCGTAAGCTGTAATACCGCGTGCTGATTGAGCGCGGGGTCGGAGCTCAAAAATCCCGCCTCAAAAGGCCTTGAAGTGGTGCGTTATGTGATTAGACAATGTTATATGTATGTAGTAATAAATAGACAATGTCATAGTACGCATGGAGTCGACACAGAGAAGATTAACATGGCCCCTGCGCAAGAGAAAAAAAGAAAGGAAAAAGAGAAAGGTCTTTACATACCAACTCCTGGCATTACGGACTCGTGAGGAACCTAAACGATTTTCCTTCATCCATGCAGATTTTCTAATATGGTTTTGTTTCTTCAGTTCCACGTATGATAGTCGTGCACGTTCACGAACCAACCATCAATTAACAGAACACCAGTTAGTGATCAGTCCCGGCACACAACCCAATCACTATGGCATCAGTCCGCATTTAACCCGCTTCCTGAATACATTACAGACCACGGGGAAATGAGACGCACAGGTCACGTTGGAAACATATTGCCTTATTCAAAAGAAAGGGAAAGTAGTAGCTACTGATCCTTGCTCCGAAGAGGTCGCTACTGGTGCGACCAAGTATCAGCAGCAGAAACAATGAAGAGAACTAGAACAAGGAAAGAAGAACGGGAAGGAGGAGGAAGAGGTAGATTTGGTGGAAATAACGTGTGGCAGCCACGTCGATTTGGTGGACATCGATATCGGCATCTTCGGTGTAAAGTGCGGCAACCACGTCACTCAACGAGAATCCTAAACAAGGTCCGGCCATAAGACGGGCTGCAATCCGGCTATGTCTAGGGGACACAAACAGTTAAGAAAAGCGATGGCTATTCTGCAAGACAACAAAGCGACAGGGAACATCACCACGAGAATCCTAAACAAGGTCTGGCCAAACAGTTAAGAAGCGACAGCTATTCTGCAAGACAACAAGAAGCGGTCTGGAACATCATCACGATCCATGGAAACGGTCCCGCACCAAAAAATGGTGACGTGATTGACTGATGAACAACGCGGAGAAACGAATCACCACAAGGCTGGGGGAAATATAAATACTCCTAGAGGGAGGCAGTTTGAGTAGACGGAACTTACACGGAAGCAAGAGAGACCCACATGAACAAAAGGCCACAGAGATACTCGTCAGCATACATTCAGCTACTTACTGTGACAGACACACACACACACACACACACACATGTGCCGTACACTTTTTGAGTTTATAGCGAATATGACAACACACACACACACACACACACACACACACACACACACACACACACACGTTCTCCACAGTGAACATTACAAATCACACACAAAACAAGAACAAAACAGAAAGAAAACGGCAGCACGCCGCATATGCACGGAAAATGGGGGGAGAGAGTGCACATCACAAATCACACACACAAAACTAAAACAACACAGGAAGAAAACGGCAACACGCCGCATATGCACAGAAAAAGGGGAAGAAAGAGAGAGAGAGAGAGAGAGAGAGAGAGAGAGAGAGAGAGAGAGAGAGAGAGAGAGAGAGAGAGAGAGAGAGAGAGAGAGAGAGGGCATAACTGTGGACGGTGTAGATGGGACGAGCCCTTTGAAGGAATGCAAGATACCTCCGGCGCCGAGGGCAACACCCCCAATAGACAGAAGAAAGAAGGCTAGCGGAATCCACAGCGGAGCCGACAGAATAATGACCGGCGATGCAAGCAGCAGCACTGTCGCACCGAGAATGACCGTGGGCCCACCGAGTGCCAGAGACAGCGTTGTTCCAACGGGAAACAGCGCTCCCAGGCCGCCAACTACAAGGGCCCACTGGGGCCCGCTTAACTGCCTTAGCCGATCTGACAGTTCCCCACCGAAGTCCTTTAAAAGACCAACCCCGAGCAATCGCTGAAGCAACCCCCGTTTCTTCACCGAGCCCCTCACTCCGACGTCTGCGCATGGAACGGTTTGAACATCAGCAAGACTACTTCCATTTGATGCGACCCCATCAGCTACAATACGATGAGGTCCATCCTCCTCCCTCTCATTCTCTCTCTCTCCCATCTTACCAACATCTCCTCCAAGTCCACTGTCCTTGACCGACCCCATAATGCCTTCCTCCTCCTTCTCCTTCTCCTTCTGCTCGCCGTCGTCTCGTGCAACAGCAGTAGACACTAGCTTCCCCTTCTTCTCCTTCCCTTCCTCCCTCAATTTACCCTTCTCCTCTCTCCGCTCCTCTTCCTCCTCCTCCTCCTCCACCTCCTCCTCCACCTCCACTTTGCCCTTCGGGTCTTGAGCTATCCTGGCCATTTTGTCCTTGCCCTCCCTGTGCAGTTGCGACTCGTCACTACCAGTGGAGCTTCCCGATCCCGGTGCCGATGCCGATCCCGATCCCAACGCGTCCGCCGTGCCCTCTGCACTCCATCCATCTCTTTGTCCCTCCTCAGTTCCAGAATCAGCACCCGTTGCTCCCGGCTCGGCCTTTCTCTTACCAGCCATCACAGTTAACAAAGAGTTAAGCCGCCACCGGCGTGCTGTCATCGACAGGAAGTGCACAATAACCAAGGTCAACCCTAATCCAACCCCTTCAGCAAGAACACCGATTGTCAAAAAAAAAAAAAAAAAAAAAAAAAAAAACAGAAGACTGATCGACAGATTGGCCAGAAACTACAAAAAATAACTAAGGTCAACCCTAATCCAACCGCTTCAGCAAGAACACCGATTGTCAAAAAAAGAAAAAAAAGACTGATCGACAGATTGGCCAGAAACTACGAGGGGCGTCGAGGGCTGCTAGACCACCTCGAAGCCAACAACTTAGCATATCCGCCCTTGCAAAAGGGAAAGGGAAGGAAAAACCTAAGAACATCCAACAAACATCGTCAAGCGAAGAAAACGAAAACTGCCGTTAACTCCAGTACGAACACTGCCGTAACTGCAGTTCGTGGATCAGCAATCGACGAAGCTAAGAAGGGTCTGAAAAACTACAAAGGAAAAAGCAGATACCATGCAGTTATGGCGCTAGAGGAAGCACAGGGTCTCAAAATCTATAAAGGAAAAAGCAGGTGCCATGCAGTTGTGGCGTTAGAGGAAGTTCATAAATCTGCCAGGCTCACATCTCCCTCTTCCCTCCGCCAGGGTCATATCTCCCTCTACCACGCATCGCCTCCCTCTACCACGCATCGCCTTCCAGCAGTTCCCTGTAATAACTCCGCGTTGAATTGTTACGTCCCCAGCCTCTTAATATATGTGTAGCCTCTTGATAAATGTGTTCTTTGGAATATATTAACTGAACGTGTTCTTTCGGGAAACAATATATATCGTCACAAACAGAACTGCCCGGTAAAACCGTAGGCAGAGAGAAAGAAGAGGATATTTGGCCGCGAAGTGGCAGTAGCGGCGCAAGCGACTGGCGGGAACGGGCTAGCGGKAAATTAACTGTTAATAACATGTATGTGGCTAAGACCTGGGTGGGTGGGAGAACGGCGACGGCCGACGACTGACGACTGGCAGATGGAACACAGGCCCTGACTTGTCGTGATGCTCCGCAATTTGACCGGCCCGCCAAGTGACCGACACAACCGCCAGAGATGGGCGGCTGGTTCTTCCGTGTTGCTGATTCCAACTTTTTTTCCCCTTTTCCTTTTGTGTTTGTATGCGGTCCGATGGACCACGGATCAGATATTAAACTTATCAGAACAGATACTACACTTGATCTAAACCAAAAGCCCGAGAAACGTACATTCTAACGATAACGGAACTCCTGATATCGTGCATGGCTGTAGCTCGGTTGGTTGGGAACCTGCGTTTTACAGGCTCCTGTGTTGCAAGATGCAGGGAGTGGGATTACTCCTGGTTGGCTCGGTGGAGAGCATATTTGCACTGCAATCCCAAATCCACATTTTTTGCGGATTTGGGAAAGGCCCATTTGTGGTTTTGGGCGCGGTGCTGGTCATACCCCTTCATCCTATTCCTTACGCAGCATTGGCCGCAGGGGGGAGGTTCATGATGCGCTGCGCGCCGGATTCGGGTCGAAGTTTTGGTGAGGGACGGCCGATGAAGGCGATCGAGGGCGGGGAAGTGTGCAGAGGGGTGCACATACGGAAATGTTCACGGAGAGGACAAACATCTTGGAGGCGAGCCATCCAATATGCGGGCGGCTTCTTTTTTTTTTTGTTTTCAACTTTTCCCTGGTTGGCCGTCGTTTTGTGTCCCCCTGCTCCTTTTTTCATTTCTCGCGCCTGTTGTTTTGTGTCCAGACCCCTTCCCTCCCCACGCCCTGTCGCTGGCAGAAATCCTGTCCTGATAACCTGGCCTCCCTTACATCCTCATAAGTGCCCACAAGTGGAACTCCTCCCTGGGCCCCCTGGGGAGGATTCCACTACTCTTCCTTTCTTCTATATGTTCAGTAGAGGTAGTCAATACCGGTAGCCTGAGTATCCTGAGCAATCTGTGACATTGGGTAGGGTCTGGGGTGAGCAGTTTTTCTAAAGAGTATCAGTCCTCAACAGCTTATCCGGCCGCCTTCTTTGGAGGGTGAAGAGATACAGAAGGCAGTGGCAGTTCTCCAAGCCCACAAAGGACTACACCACTGGACATTACACAGGCCTGCTCAGTCAATCCCCTGGGTTGCAGGGCAATCAATGCTGGCAGGCCCCAATAGCCACTATCCTCATGTTTCTCAGACATTCTCTTTTCTGTACATGGGACGCTGGACCCGTTTTCCAGCAGGTGACGCTCCCCACCAATAGATGGAGCCTCTCCCCTGGTGTTAGTGGTGTCTGCTCTTATCAGCAGCACTAACACGGAAAAATCACCGGGGACGCGAAGCATAGTGGTGGTACCCGACCGGAAAAGTCAAGCACAGGGATGACGATACTTCCCCTTGGGAGGCGGCGAAGGTTGGCACAGGACTGTCTTGGCTGTCTCCACTGAAGTCAAGAGCAAGGATGTGAGGAAGGCTGGCTCTGTAGTCTTTTCCCTCTTTCCATAGCAAGCCTTCATCCATGTATATCCGAGTAGAACGGACAACCACAGAGCACACCATCTTCACGGCCATGCTCTGTGCATTTTGTGGAAGCGACGGTGTGTCCCTGTCCCTGTTTCCACAGCACATCCACGATGATGTATCCGGACATTAACGTTGCCAAAATACATTTGAGGGCAGTGCTGCACAGTAGAAAGATGGCCACAGAGGCATGGGGGGGTGAGCGGCAGAACAGCCGAGGCATGGGAAACAACTGCGGAGGTGGAGCGGAGGCACTGCGAAGGAGGGCGGAAAAAGTGCGGAGGCAAGGGGAGGAAGTGCAGGGGTGGGCGGAGAAGCTGGGGAGGTGGGCGGCGGAGCTGCGGAGGTCGTGGGGAACAGCGGAGGTGGGCGGATGAACAATGGAGGTGCAGCAGAGTCTGTCGGATGAACACCTGTGGAAGTGCGGAATTGCAGCGCAGGCTCGATATGGAAAGAAACGAGCCCGTGCACATCAAAACGAAACTGGAGCCGCAGGCAAAGTACAAGTAACAAAAGGACAAACAACACACGCATCCGTGTGTGACCAGGCCACGCAGCATCCTGGAGCCCCTAAACCCACAAAACTGCCCGTCCAACTGACAATCTCGGAAGAACTTTTGTAAATGATTTTTGCCCAATTTCCAAAGAAAATTTGAAAAACAAAATAGTGCATTTGCCTTCACGTCCAGAGGTGCCCCAAAAATCCCTTGCCGCGCCGCCTCCCAGGCTGCTGACAAATGGGCACACCAATTGTACATTTGGTACTTCGGCAAATCTGTGTAACCTGCCCTCTACCCTTGGTTTTTAGGAATTTGGGATTCTAGGCCCCAGTGTGAGTATGCCCTGAGTGTGTTGGCACTCACTATAATCCTGTGCTTGGAATCCGCAATACTGGACTCCAGCACATTCAAGGCCGGGTACCCCAGGAGGGGACGCAACGCTGTGTAAGTGTTGTATGGGGGCTTCGGCCTCATTGAGTGTCCTGCTGGCTGCGCTCACGACATACACAGTTTTGGCCGCGGCGGGAGGGGAAGGGTTCGCCTAGCGAGTGGGTACCATTGGGAGTCTCCCGGCTTGGAATGCCCCTGCTCGTCCCTGGGTGTGTTCTGGGATTGCGATTAAAGAACTGGCTGCCAGGGTAGGGCCTGGGTATACCTCACCCTGCACAACGTTTGAAAAATAATAACAGGGAAACAGGGAAATTACACGGGAGTCACAAAAAAAAGGAAACTTCTGGCAATTAATAATTTAGAGACAACTGCACCTGTGATATGTGCAGAGTTCGGAATTCGCAGAAATAACAGTACACTGCAATACCGGGCCGAGAGCAATTCTAAAAATTATGCAAAATTTAGCAGCAAAAAAAAAAGTAAATGATAACTTCAAGGGCCTGCCAGTTTAACAATTCGCAAAAACGGGAGGCGCCGGTATCAGTACCGGTCCTTTTCCCGTGGGTGTGGCCTAGACATCTCGGCAGTCGCCCAGCCATGGGCATGGCCTAGGCATCTCGGCCGTGGTCCAGCCACGAGTTTGGCCTAGACATCTCGGCAGTGGCCCAGCCACGAACGTGGCCTAGACATCTCAGCCGTGGCCCAGCCGCGGGCGCGGGAAAAAAAAACAAAAAACCTGGGCCGTAGCCCAGCCGTGGGCATCGGTAAAGAAAAGCAAAAAAAAGCAACAACAAGTGGCCGCCTGTTTTTGCCAATTACAAACTCCCGACCATAGAGCTGCAAGTTTTTTTTTTGCAGTTACCAACTGCTCTCGGCCCGAACTTGACGTGTTCTATCATTCCTGCCAATTGGAAACTCCAGACCACACCTGGGCATAGTTATCTCAATAATTTAATAAGGATGGTACACTGAGCTTAATGCGGCCCTAGCTACCAGGAGTAGGTATGGCACAGGCTTTGGTCACCAAGGAGACACTGGATGGGACCAGTGGTGGGTGCAGACCAGAGCAGGAAAAGCGATCTCTTCCGTCCACAACTTTTTTGGGGGGGGGAACTTCAGTAGAGTCACGCAAACCAGTTATAATTGCACTATGGGGCAAGATACAGTTTGCAATTGCACTTCAGACACCCTACCTGGCCAGGAAGCTGGGTTGTATACACTGCCTGAACTGCAATTCCAAACTGTCTTTTNACCTGGGGAGAGGCTCCATCTATTGGTGGGGAGCATCACCTGCTGGAAAACGGGTCCAGCGTCCCATATACAGACTGAAATTAGAGTAAATCAGAGAAACAATGTAGGAGGTTCCTGCCAGCATTGATTACCCTCGAGTCCATGGGATTGACTGAGCAGGACATTGAAAAAAAAGGGGGGGAACCTCCTCGCCCTGAACCCGGCGCCAGATACCTGCTGCTACACACTAGTTCCTCCCTCCCCTTATCTTTGAATGTTTCTTTGTGTTTTTTTTTTTTTTTCAATCGAAAGCATCTAAAAAAAGAAACTGGAAAAAGCCTGCCAGCATTGATTGCTGTGGGTAGGTTGTGGAAGGTTCGCCCACCCTATCTAGCCTTCTTTCTTAACCCTGCTATCCTTAGAGGGGGCACCAGTGGAGCCCTGCGTCTCCCTGCCCATTTCTCTCCCAGGCTACCTTATCCTGTGGGCGTAGCCCATGCCTATCGCCCCTTCCTAAGGACGTAAGTGGAACTTCACAAATCTACAAGCTTGAGGGAGT